GGAGGAGGAGGAGGAGGAGGAAGGTGCATGCATGCTGCCTGGAGGAAAATCAAAGCTTTCGGTAGAGCTACACTCAGAGTTGGTGGATTTCAAATCATCTGTGCTATCGCTACTACAGACTGACGCACTGGAAGAGTCAGATTTCTTTTGATTAAGGGTCATGTAAACCGTTATATTGCTTTTGCTGCCTCTCTTGCCCAGTGTCTGCTGCTCATCCTGATCAACAGTGACATGCACTTCACTCGTGTCCTGAACCTCACTGCTGGGCTCTTCAGGGCCTTCTGAGGGGCTCTGATTTTCTGAAGGGGCCTCACCTGCTGAGCGGGTGGAGGAGCAGCGAGACTGGGGCTTAGTTGCCATCTTGCCACTCCGAATTTTCTCAAGTCCCGTCTTGAGAGAAGAGTCATTCTCCTCGTTGCGATACCTCTGCGGCTTCAAGCGCAATCGCGGCGGGAGGGACCCTGAGCTGGTGTTCTGCAGGCGCCGCGTGAAGTGGACCTTAGAATGTGCATTTTTGGAAGAGGAGGTTGCGCTCTGCTTCTTTTGTGCCTTTTCTTTGGCCATTTTCAAGACTTCCCGAGCCTTCGCATGATCCATGTTTTTGCTCTGGAGAACCTTTTTCGCGTTTAGCTGCGCTTTCGACGTGTTGGCCTGCGCCGAAACCTTAACCACTCTGCTCCTGCCGTGGGCAATGTTGGACACCTTGACCACAGCGTTCCTTTTCTGGCTTTCAGGCTGGCTTTTCCCATCCACCTTGTGGTCAGTCTTAAGTTTTTTATTCACAGTAGTCACGCTCTCGTTTCTTCGCTTTTTACCGTCCTCGTATTTGGAAGAGTCGCTGGCGCTGCCACCCTTTTTGATCTCCTTTTTCTCCGCGACGACGCTGTTTTTGCACTTGTCGCACAGGACCTGCCGGGGCCGTAGCTTGATGGCGTTCATGATGGAGGTGGGCTCCTCCCTGTACATCTTGCGCTTGGGCCGCTTGATTTTCCGGGGGGGAGGTTGAGGTATTGACTGGTTGTAGGTGTCCCTGATAAACAACGGGGGAGGGTAGGGTGCTCCCTCGTGGAAGAGAGGAGGAGGTTTAGAAGTCCAAAGGCTTTTGGCTCTGCTGGGCTCCGAGGGCTGTGACAGGGAGGAGTCATCGGGGACCGCGGCGTCCGACTCGCACTGGGCCGGCGCCTCGGCCTGGAATGGTTTGCTCTGGAGCTGCGTGGCCTCAGGCTTGTCCTTGTACTCCCTCTTGGGAAAGATGGTCACGGGGATTCCGTGGGGGCCGAACCTGCAACACACAAAGATGGAAATGCGGTGAGGGAACTTGTGCTGTGTTTGGCACAGAGCGTTTGGAGACCTGTCAGCGTGAGGCAGCCACCTGGGAAGGAGCACTAGTCCACATGGGTTAGCCAGCACTGCAAAGGTAAAGCTACTTTTCTCAGGAAAAGTAAAGCTGCCTATCCAGCCCTGTGGAAGCTCTGGAGGAGCAGGACATCAAAATGAAGTCAGTAGAGAATGTGAAATACACAACTTCACTTACTATCAGTTTCTCTTGTGTCAACACCCTGAAAACACAGCAAATCACATCACCTAGACAGCAGTAAAAAAATTAACTCTGTACCTCCAGGAAATGCTTACAAACATACACAAACTCATCCCATCAGCTCCAAGTCTACCCAAGATTATTTTCCATGCGAAGGAATCTTCAGCAACTCTTAAAAATTCTTAACGTTTTTAGCACAAATGGGTGAACTTTTCAGATTTACCTGAGAAATCTGGACTGGACAACTAAATATAGAGTGCCACCACCACTCTTCATCCACCAGAGCTCAGCATCTGATCAGCATTAGAGCCCCGAACTCACTAGCCTGAGTTTGTTTCAGCAAAACCATCCTTACTCCAACCCAGTACAACCCACCCCTCCCTGTTCTGTGAGCAAACAAGATTGTAAACCTTTCCCTGTTTTTCTCCAGACTAGAATCACCCGAGATCACTCCTGCCCCATTTGTCTCACACAGAACTTCTCACCACCCTGATCTGAGGAGAAAAGGATGAAAAATCCCAGCA